GTCATGGTATCTACTAACTGTAAAAGCCTGTTATACCCGGAATCCTCAGGAAATTTTATTTTTCCTTAAAATACCTGGAAGGCTCAGAGAATGTAATAATTTTCTTACAAAGGATATTTAAAGAAAAGAATGAATTTCAAAATACAGGCATTTAATTTTTTTTTTCGTTATTAACATTCACACTTTGAACTTTATCGATCCATAGTGGACTAATATTCAGTAACAAATAAATTAAAAGAAAAACAGAGGCTAGAAATATTTTTTTTTGTTTGGAACATGCATATTTCCCAGAAATTTAAAATTTGAACTAGTTCTGGACATAAAAGCTATAATACTTTAAGAAATTTTCAAAATTCTTGAGGTTAATCCATGTACAGTTTTAAAAGCTCGTGGAATTCAATTATAATTTCTAATGACCTCATTTCAAGGAAGTTCTGGGAAAAAAATCTTTCAGAAAAACATCAAATGCAATCTGCTTTTAAGGTAGTTCGGAAGAATTTTAGATTTCTTGTGAAGCCTGAAAGTTTTGAGTAAAATTTCAAGAAACCCTGAATTGAATGTGTTGGGGAACGGAGTACTCACTTCGATAGCACTCGTGGCTCTGGAAACGCTTGTAATGATTCTCCGACCAGAAAATGAGCGGGCGTTAATGGCTGGAGATCGTTAAAATCATCGGAGAGGGGGGTCAGAGGGCGAGAGTTGAGACATGCTTCGACTTGTGTCAGTAGCGTAGCCATGTTTTCCGAAGATACGGGTGTTTCTCCTACAACCTTTAGCAGATGGGTTTTGGCCGATCGAACAGCAGCCCCCATAGGCCTCCAAAGTGTGGCGCACTCGGAGGGTTGAAGTGCCACTGAATTCCTTCCTTGGCTAATTCCCTGGTGACTATTTCACGGTGATTGTCGTCCTTGAGCAGCTTCAGAAAATCTTGCAGTTTATTCCGTGCACCGACAAAGTTGGTACCATTGTCGGAGAAGATATCTGTACATCGTCCTCGTCTGGAGATAAACCGCCTTAGAGCCTGCAGAAATCTGTCGGTTGACAGAACCGAGACGAGTTCCATATGCACCGCCTTAGTGCACAAACAAATGAAGATTGCAACATAAGCCTTGACTGTTGGTCGCCTTGGTGCAGGTCTTATGTAGATCGGACCGAAGTAATCTACACCCGTCCGAGAAAAGGGGCGCGATATCGTGACTCGCGACGTAGGCAAATCTCCCATTTGTTGTTGGACAAATGAATAATGTTTCGTACCACACTTCTTCCTCCTAACGGCCAGAAGCGGAGCCTAACAACGCTCAACAGCAGTTGTGGTCCAGCGTGGAGTAATTGCTCGTGGTAGTGTCGTAGCAGCATGCGTGTAAGTGGATGCCGTGCTGGTAGGACGACTGGGTGTTTGGTCTCCTCCGCTTCCATAGAGTGCTTCAAACGGCCACCAAGCCGAATCATTTGATCTTCTGATAGAAATGGATTGTACCAGCGCAATGGTGATCCACTCGCAGCATACTACACACCGCTTCTCTCTTTGGTGCGCTCACGAGTATCTCAGTTCTATCCCGAGCACCGAGATATCCACTCGGTCTCGAGTTAGAACTGAGACACTCGTGAGCGCACTCTTTCCAGGTGAACCTCCCAACAGAATGAGAAGCAAATTTTAATGAAAACTCTAAAAATTTCTGAGGAGCACAACTCCTTCAGAGCAGAATTCCAAGGGCCTTCTGAGGATAATTTTATAAAGTTGTGGAAGAAAACGAATCCGGAGCATAAGTCATTGGAATCCTTTTGAAAAATTTAAAAGGAGGATTACAATTAAATTTGAGAATAACTCCGGAACATCTTCAAAGGAATTCGGAAAATAAATTCAGGAGGGTTTGCCAAACAAATTATGAGAAGAAATCTAAGGAATTTGTGAGGAGAAATGGCACTGAATTCTTAGGAGACTTTCAATGTGATTAGAATTCCAAGGAATGGAATGATATTCAAAAAGGAAATATTAAATGAATTCAATGAATATTCGGAGAATTTTTCCAAAGGGTTTCTTATTGTGGAGAATTTCAAGGTAATTCCGTGGAAAACTAAAAGAAAATTGAATTAGGAGGATAGCTTTATTGAAATGTTGAGGAATATTTCAATGGAAATCAGAATGGACTATTCTATTCTTGAAAGTTCCATAAAATTTCCTGAAGTTAATGAAACTGCCTTGAAGTTATTTTATATTTTGAGAAACTAGCCGAATGCTAACAACACTTCTCATCAAATTCTTAAACTTCCCTGAACTTTATAGGACTTCCTAAAGTTTCCTCAATGTTTCTAACGTTGCCTTGAAGTTTCGACAATTTTCCTTAAGTATAACCATTATAAACGCTTACTAATTTTCCCTGAAATTATCTATAGTTACCTGAAGTACGCGAAATTTGTTTAATAATTCCCTGACGCTTCTGACGTTTTCGGTTCAATCATAGAATTCTTGGAATACCCCATAATTCCACGGAACTCCTTGTAAGTCTCTGCAAATTTGCTCTAGTTTATGGGATTATTCTGAAGCTATCTGATCGTCCTTGAAGTACTCGGAAACTATCTAAAAGTATCTAAATTTATAATAAGTTCTCTGGAATTTCTTGAAGAGATCACTGATTGCTAAAAGTTCTCGCATTTTTTTAATTAATAGAACTTCGTTAATTTTCTCTAATCAATTTAGCTAAATTTTTGCATTTTTTTAAGTTCTTGAAATCTCCACAAAACACGCTTAAAATACTCCCACTTTTTCCGGATGTTCATATAATTTTTATCACGTTCCAGAAACTCTCTCGGAGCTTTGCTGAAGTTTCCGAAAATTCCCTGAGTGTCTCAAAACATCTTTAAGGTTTCTACAATTTCCTTGAAATTATTTGTACTTTCCTTTGATTCTCATCAAGACAGATTATGTTCTCGAAGATTCCCTAAAGCTCTCAATTCTATTGAAGATCTCGGTTCTGCTTGGAAATAAATGGAATTCCCGTAAACACCTTTAGATTTCCCGATTTGTTTTTTTTTATTAATTTACGATTATAGATCTTTAAACTGCTCCAAAAGTCTAGACTAAAGCTACGGAAACTGCTTTTAAGATCTGAAATTCCCCAAAAACCTCTTCCCCAAAAAAGAACTTCTTAAAAATTTGCACAATACCCCTCATGTTTTCTATATTTCTCAAGTTCTCTTGACACCTGTGAAGTTCTCTGAAATTCTAGGAACTTCATAAAAGTTCCCGAAAAATTTCAGATGCTAAATGAACCGCTTTGAGGTTCTTAAAGCTTTCAGTAAATTCCCCATATTTTCAGCGTATCAACTTCCGTTATGTTCCCGCAGTTTGTTAATGATGGATCACTGAAATTCTCAGCATTTCTTTTCATTACTCAGAACTTGTCCAAAGTTCCTGCAATTATGAACTTAAAATAAATCATTTCTTTTTTTCCTTGATTCTGGTACTTTGAACATTTTCAATATCTTGAACATGGAATACGAAACTTCAAGATATTGACAAATTTTAGGTCTTAGACTTACTCAAATTAAGTATGTTTTTTTAAACTTTATTAAGTGAGAAATATAGTAAGTGTTAAACTGCAACATTCAATAGATTTGATAGTTCAGCTGTTTCTTTAAAACTGATTGCCATGTCTTAAAAAAGTTTGGGTAAATTGCTGTTGTTTTTGACCTACCTAGCTTTCTTATAATAAACCTGGAATTTAACCGTTAAAGAACTAGAAAAATTTGGAAAACTCAGGTAATTCTATTTAGAAAAATGAGTAGACACCCTGTAGATAGAGAAAGACGATTAAACGCTGAAAAAGTTGAAAATAGTGACTGATTACAAGAAAAAGTGACTTTAGTGACTTGGCCTTAAAAAAAGAGACTTTTTAGTGACTGGCTTGAAAAAAGTGACCAAGTCACTAAAAACTGACTCGCTACCAGCCCTGTTGCTCGTAGAAATCCTAAATTGTACGTAAATGTCTGATCATAATCGTTAGATTTATTCACTCAGAGTTCGATCAGACAATGCAGATGTGAATAACAATTTAAAACATGCAGATCATCTAAACTGACCCTTAGACAGCAGATATTTAAAAGTTGTTTAACTTTTAGATTACTAATATTTTCTCAAAATCGTAATGACTTCCGCAATATAAAAATCGCTCTTGAGACGATCCACAATGCTTCAAGTAGGTAATCCGTTCATTCCAATGGGTTTATTTATGTTTCACTCTGGCAGATATCACTTGAATTAAATTAAATGTATGGAATATCATGGAAATTTGATGAAATACTTTCGTACACAAACATCAAATCACAAGAATTCAGAACAGGCATCCGAATTCGTTTTCTTCAGTGTGTCTTTCCTAATCTAATTTTCAACTCAAGCTAAGACATCCTGATAAACAAAATTTATCATTCCCTTAAAATCACTCCAAGCTTAAACGCACGCTTCCGCACTTTTTTTTCGCTCAGCTGTCTCTGACTGTGTATAACTATCCAGTTCTCACACGCCTGAGCGCAGAAACATCCGAAACCGTCAAAACTCAATGAGGCATTATATTTTCCAAAAACAAGATTTATGTCACACACTGATGTTCCCTATTGACCTTTTCGGATACTTCCTCACGCGGTCATACGTAGCTTTTCGACCGGGCCGCGGAGGAGGGTCCCTGCTCGGATTACAAACGACCCAGATGCCGATTAGAGTAAACAAATCCCGCTAAAGCCAATAGTCTACTCACTCAATCTAGGTAGATACCTACGATACTCTGAGGCACACGAAATCAATCACACACACACTCACCGGCGGCGGCAGCGACAGCGGCAGCAACTTTGTACTTGCTGCTACTAGGATTTATGGCACAGCCCGTTACGGGTGCCATAAAATGAGTTTTATTTGTTAATTTTGGTGATGATTGTGTTAAGTTTGTTCAGTGACATAAACTCAAAAAAATCTGCGAAATGAGTTCGCGTTCGCCGTGGGACAATACCTTAGAATTTGTTGTAGCGATCACGGTATGCTATAAAATCCGAAACGATATAATCCTTCGAGTAGTGGTAGCGGTAGTAGTATCCTTCATGTAAAGGTAGAGTCACATCACAAATCACAGCTAAGCACACACATTTCTAGGCGCGAATGAGATCATTTCGCATTTTCCGCTCTAATCACTTTAACTCACTTGTCACAACACTTTAATTGGGCACACCTTCGTGTTATCGCGCCGCCAGAAACCGCACACTCGGCGCTATTAATCCCGCCTGGATGCTGCACTGACTGTAATCACACTCTCTACCCGTTCAAAATCCTCACACCATCCGTGTTACGCGTGAAATGAACTCGATCGCGGTCGGTTACACGTTGGCATGCATTCGGTTCGACTTGTATTTCCGCTCTGACGCGTAGAATGACGAGGACTGAAAGTGTATCGCGTATCTGAACCGGAGGAGACCCCAACCGTCGTCGTCGTCGACCAGGAAGAGCACGCAAACCGTTGTATGTGGTATAGGTACAAGAGGAGGACGTGCAGCATCAGCCAGCGAGCGGAAAATCAACGCCATTCATCCCGTAAGTAAACAAAATCGTCGTCATCAACTTCAACAGCTACTCTCGGTGGAGACGTGCGCGCGCTCTCTCTGTCTTTCTCTCCCGGCTGGAGTTTTCGGTTGCGGGTTATTGGCGAGTCCAAGGAGCGAAGCTGGATGTGTTGGATTATACGATACGATGTCGAGCGAGGCTCTGGGAGCGCTCCGGAAAATTGATGTGGGCACAGTGGGAAATGGGTCAGTTTTACGAGTTGAAGTTGAGTTGAGCGTATTATTTGTCGCGAAACAGCTTTTCTTAAACGATAATGCCATGTTCGCACTATGGGGTTATAACATGTTACAAGGGTGTTATAATAATTATAGACAAGAAAAATGTAATCAAGTATATTCTTCTTCTTCTTGTTCGCATTTCAAGCTTATTGCTTAGCGCATATTAGCTTATTGCGTGCTCTTAACTTATTGCTCTAAATGCACTTCCACAGTTATTAATTGAGAGCTTTCGATGCCAATACCAATGCATGAATTTGTATATTCTATGCCCAGGGAAGTCGAGAAAATTTCCAACCCGAAAGATTCCCTCGACCGGACTGGGAATCGAACCCGTGCCTTTACTGACTAGGCTATGAGGCCCCTGTAATCGAGTATATAGCATGTTATAACTCTGTAGTCTAGCATACCTAATGCTGATTTTGAACGGAAAGGATATTAAATGTCTATTTTATCATACCCGGACGATCGGTTACCACCAATTTGTTGAATTTTACGTCGAAGTGCATAAAAAGTATGGAGGATAAAGCGCAAGTCGATGTAATTTATACCGACCTGAAGGCGGCGTTCGATAAAATTGATCATAACATACTGCTACACAAGTTATCTCGTCTTGGAGTTTCTATGCAATTGGTTTTTTGGTTGGAATCCTACCTTACAGAGCGTGTACTTCGAGTGAAGGTTGAGGGTTTTGTATCTTCGCCGTTTTCAAACAAGTCTGGAGTTCCACAAGGTAGTAATCTCGGACCGTTGCTGTTTATTCTGTTCTTCAACGATGCTGCTTTGGTTTTGGGCGAAGGATTCAAACTGGTCTATGCAGATGATTTAAAGCTGTACATTGTGGTGCGCACACAAGAAGATTGTTGGCTTCTGCAAAACTCGCTGACTTTGTTTGCCGATTGGTGCCAGAGAAACAAACTGACTATTAGTGTGGAAAAATGTCTGATAATCACGTTTCACCGCATGGTACATCCAATTTTGTTTGACTATCATATTGACGGCGATACTCTTACCAGAGTTACCAGTGTGCCTGATCTAGGGGTTCAACTAGACACAAAAATGACTTTTGATTTACACCGTTCAGCGCTCATATCGAAAGCAACGCGACAGTTGGGCTTTATTTCCAAAGTTGCGAAGGATTTTTCGGATCCACATTGTTGGAAGTCATTGTACTGTGCACTTGTCCGTCCAATTTTGGAAAATGTGTCCGTCGTTTGGCATCCTCACCATGTCACGTGGTGCCTAAGGATCGAACGGGTTCAGAAACGGTTCATTCGTCTGGCACTGAGAAACTTGCCGTGGAGTGATCCTGACAATTTGCCGCCGTATCCTGATAGATGCCGACTGTTGGGCTTAGACACACTGGAACAACGACGGAAAGTACAGCAATCGTTGCTTATTGCTAAGCTGTTGAATGGTGAAACTGATGTCCCCGACCTGCTTGCGATGATGAACTTTCGTGTGCCGAGCAGATCTCTTCGGAATACAACGCTACTGCAACCAAGTTTTCACCGAACCATGTTTGGGAACAACGAACCAATCTCAGCGTGTATTCGTGCGTTTACGGCTGTCGAAGAGTTTTTCGAGTTCAATGAACCAACCGAACGTTTTGCATATCGGATTAGGTCTGTGTTAAATTAGCTCTAATATATTCATTAAGACTAAATTGTCAGATGAATTATTTTAAATACAAATACAAATTCAAATACAAATACAAATACCACCAATCAGGCAGAGGCCAGGGTGCCCTTTGATGGTGATGATAGTGATCTACCACTCATTGTAGCACGGAAACTAGTCCGATAGCTGTGGGTCCTCCTCACTGTTCAACTTAATCAAGCCTAATAACCTTTGATTGTCATCAGCAAATCGCTGTATGAAGGTCCAAAAACGAATGGATGGATTAATAGGCAATTCGCCTATTCCTTTCCTTGGGACAGTTAAGAATCTCCTTCCAAGAACTTGATCTGCCAATTGGTCAGAAAACGAGCCATCCAACAGGAAGATGCCCCAATGAATGAGGAGAAGAGCCCGCCCTTTATCCACGAAATGTTAACAACAGGGAGTTGTCATCTTCACTCTCCCCATCCAAATCGCTTCAATCCCTGATGCTCCTTCCTAATTCCGAATTTTTGATATAGGGGAAATGGATGTAATGTCGACCTAAATGCCCCTAATTTGGGCCCATAAAAAAATTCAGCGATCGACTAAATTTTCACAAGTGAATAAAAATATCCATGAGTACAGTCCCAATGATGCGTTCATCTAGATAAAATTGATAAATAGCAGATTTTTCGCGATGGGTCTAATCTTCGATCCATAGATCCATACATTAGAGCCATTTCCCCTATATATATGTAATATAATAATCAGATAATCAGAAGCATAACGTCTACAAAACTATGCGAGTCGATTGAAATCTGCCGTAAATAAATGAGGGCTAAGTTGATTCACAACATAGAAGCGTAGATGCATACGTGAAGGATAAGAGAAAGGAGAGTCAAAGGTGTTGACATGCAGAATTAGAAATCGTCGAGATTGAATGTGATGTGATAGAGTTACCTATCACATAAATTTACATTGCATCTAGTTATGGTTATGTCAATAATACTGACATTTCGATGAAGATGGTGCTCCCTGTTTTACTCTTTATGTGATACCAATCAGCACAGAAGCCAACCTTGAATCGTAGACCAGGTCCATTCACAATACACTCGTTCCGAGAGGGAGCTCTATAGTACCACTCATACTGTATAGTCATCTTCTTCTTGCTCACCATCCGAAATGAACCCTCGGTGCATCATATATTTGATATGGTTAGTAATATCAAATAGTGTTATGGTTAGTAATATCAAATAGTGTGGTTACCCTAGCAGCACACTTGTCACTGAACAATTGTGGTTACTTGTGTGCAACTTGTTCCAGTCACAATCAAGTTGCAGCAACTTATCTCGATGGAAGTGTGCTGCTTGTGTAGTAATATCAAATAGTAATATAAAATAGTGTTATTCTGTCTGACAAACACGCCCGGACATAAACGAGAACTTCACTATCGAAACTACGGGTAATCATCGAAAGTACTTGCATTTTACTCAGGCACTTTGGAGCAAACTCATACTCGAAAAGTGCCAAGACCAACCTGGCACAACGATGCCCTATACGCTCTCTGATCAAAGCACAGGGCTAAGACCTGGGTGTCCTTTGCTGTACACAAAATTCGTCTCCATTCCACTCATGGCCGCACGTCGCCATCCTAGCAGTCTGTGAAGGCTCCGCAGGATGCCTTCCACCTGGTCGACCGATGTCTAAAGGTTTTCAGGCAATTTCCATTTATTTCAGGACAGTATCAAGATCAAGAACGCCAGGGGTCTCAGCTAGCCTAGTCAGTAAAGGTACGGTTTTACCAAGCCGGAGGCAGCGGGTTCTTTCTTCGATATTTGCAACTTTATGTTTTTTTTTCAGAGGTTCTAGGGAAGACAATGTTAGCCTGCCACCCCGAGTTCAGATTAACGGTGGCGAAATCGAGGTGGTCGATGAATTCGTGTATTAGGGCTCACTGGTGACCGCTGAAAATGATACCAGCAGAGAAATTCAAATACGCATTATGACAGGGAATCGTACCTACTTTGGATTCCGGAGGACGCTCCAATCGAATAAAATTCGCCACCGCACGAAGTTGACTATCTACAAGACGCTGATTAGACCGGTGGTCCTCTACGGCCACGAAATCTGGACTATGCTCGTGGAGAAGCAACGCGCCTTTGGTGTTTTCGAACGGAAGGTGTTGCGTACCATCTACGGTGGAGTGCAGCTGGATGACGGAACGTGGAGGAGGCGAATGAACCACGAATTGCACCAGCTGCTGGGAGAACCATCCATCGTCCACATTGCAAAAATTGGGCGACTACGGTGGGCTGGGCACGTCGTAAGAATGCCGCACGACAAGAGGCGCGCAGCGGGCAAGGTGGATCGACCGAGTAGAAGGCGACCTGTGGACCCTTCGCAGACTACGAGGCAGGCGAAGTGTGGCCATGGAGCGAGTAGAGTGGAGACGACTTCTTCGGACAGCAGAGGACAACAAGGCCTTAGCCTGATTGGTAAGGTAAGTAACTAAGTTAAGAGCCTGCAAAACGCTCGCTACAGAAGCGTAAAAAGCCTATAAGCAGAAGAACCAATAACTTCAGGGAAGATCCGAGAAAATCAGGACAGATCGGGGAACCTTAGGACAGTTCAATTAATTTATTGTAAATTGCTGGAACTTTTATGGAAAACTTCAGCAAGGCTTTGAGAGGTTCATGGAAATTTTGAAAACGTTAACGAAGTTACATGAACATTATGAAAATATGAGGACATTTTAGGGGAAGTTCCGTGTTTTTAAAGACAGATTGGAAAACTTAAAAAAACAAGCGGGGACTTCAGTGAAGATCAGAAAACATCAAGACTGTTTCATTAATTTCATGAAAATTGTTAGAGTTTTTAAGAAGTTCTGAAATCTCCGAAAGAAAGTCTAGAGAATTGTAAAGGAAATCATAGATTTTTAGGGAGATTCATTATACCGTATGCTTGATAATGTTTGCACCATCGTACAAATAAGGTTCCCGTTTC